TTGCGGCTCGATATTTTTGGTTTAAAGCTAAACTGAAACAAAAGAAATTCATTTTTAAATAGTATTCGGTAACCTCTACTTGGGAGATAAAAATCGGCCTATTTTGTTTTTTAGCCGGAAATCATCGGTCGTTTCTTAGGCGCCGGGTCTCTTAAATCCTTCAACAAGCAGTGATGTTGCAAGGAGCAAAATCAAGAAAAAATGACAACACAAGCAACTCACAGCTCTCCGAGAAGCAGTAATGCTCTCCATCCCATGCCTCCTGGCCGTTTATTAATTATACGTATATGATTGTTGTTCAGGTAACTGTTTTGTCCAGGGAGAAAAACAGGATTCATTAGATGCAGTTCCTCACAAAGCAAGAGCTAAGGCATCATTATGCACATGGTGTACATGTGGTCAGCCCACAAGTGTGCTCACTCATGCAAGAGTTTATTGAAACAAAGCCAATAATGTGCTCACAGAAAATTGGATCAGAGAAAGGGCTTGTGACAATGGGTGTAAGTAATTGCTTTTCACCCCACAAAAAAGACTCTACCAGCTTACCAAGTGTCTGCAGAACTCACAAGCTATAAACTTGCAAGGTCCTGCAACACAAGTCTTTTTAAGAGAAATAATAACCCCTTTAGCTTTTAGATTCATCAGCATCTAATTTGCCCTGAAAACCAAGGTCACTATTTTTGCCTACATGCTATTACTGACTGCATGAATGCCTTACACTTCGATGAATGAAATTTCTCCAAATAAGCAGTCATAGCATGTTTTCTGATCTAGAAAAACAACTATGGGAAGAATTCAAGCAAAACATTTTCAACTTACAGTTTATGAAGCTCGGAAACTCCAATGAACCATGATGTGGAAACAGATGTTAAATTATTATTGTCCAAGTGCCTTGAAAGATTCAAAGTCAGTTGTAAGCTTCAAACAACAGTAATGTACAAGTTATTCCTTCTTAAAATATCAACACAATGTGTGTAGAGCAGGGTTTTCAATAAGCTTTGAAATAGCCGTCTGAGCTAACTAAAGTAGGCAGCAAACTGATGAATTTTTTAATAATTTGGTGATAATACAGACAAAGTAGGCAGCAGTAAGAGGTAAATTCTGACAAAGTAGGCAGCAATTTTCGCTGGTTGCCGGCTTCTAATGAAACCCATGATAGAGGGGTACTGAGAATATGGGTAATCAACAACAAGCTCACATGTCCTTTTATAAACCCTTATTTGTCCAAAAACAGTAATAGAAAAAGTACAACATTAGCAATTAAGGAGAATTTGAAAGTGGTTGTACTTACAGTTCTCTGAGATTGTTCATTTCCCAAAGGGAGGAATGTGCAATTGTGTTGATTTTATTCTTTGAAAGCTTTCTGCAATTACAAAATTAAATCACACATGATAAGTTCTGCTTATAGTTAACATACTACAAACAACATACTAACAAGGCATTTGGCAGTAAACAATTTGTCTACATGACCCCTAGTCCAAAGTTGCTAGGCCAATGACTGTAGACAGATTAAGGCTAGTATGACTTCCAAAATTATTACTCATAAGGAGAGCCTCAATCACCAGCTGAATGGTATGGATTAAGTTTCTCTTCTCGTCATTTTGCCATGGGTCTGTAACATCAACATTCCCCACGAGGAAAGAGAAAATGCCTGTAAAATAACCCACTTATACTGCCTATAACACCCAAAAATGTATAACACATTTCTCCCTTCCTTAATATGTCTTCCCTGAACAAAGATTTAGTAATGATCTTGTGTGAAACTTTCCTCTACATGCACACTATTAAAATTGAATTTTGCCTGATAAATTAGTGGCCAAAACATTTGTGGAATGTGATAAATGCTACTTCATTCCAAAAGCAAAGCTTAGAAAACAATAAAAAAACAAGTAAAAAGTGTGACCCATAGGATCTAAGAGGATTTCACTTAACCTGATACCTCCGATTAAGCTAGATTTTCATTCCACTATAGTAAACTCCTTTAATCTGGAATAAATATGTGAAGAATTGTTTTCAGGATCATGGAATATTACACTGGCTATTCACATGAAATCAGAACTTACAATATGACTATGGACTTTAAACTTTTTAGCGGACTGTTAATTGTCCTGATTAAGTTTTTTGTGAGGTCTCTGAAGGAAACAAGAAGAAAATGGTATATATTAAAGTAAGTATCCCCTCAATCAAAAGTATATAAAATACAGCAAAGATACATGTAAATTACAGCGCTGTGTATTTTCACAACCTTTGTTTTCCCCATATGATGTCACAACATGTTAAACATAATTATACCTTATGCATATTAACCTTATCTACTTTCACATCTTTGCAAAGACAAAATACATTTGAAAATGTTAAAATGTTAAAAAAAATACTCAGAAAATGTCTCCTTTGCCCTACATTGCAGGTCACACAAGACATTTTTTATGGATAAACAGTCTAGGTAATCTTAGTATATAGCATCTGCACAAAACAAAATAGACACTTCAAATACATTGGTGATAAAGCTAGGTGCCTGCCACATCAAATGTAATAACAAGTCCATGCCAATAAAAAGTACTATGCTCTATTCTCCCACAGGAAATGCAAGGACAATAACCTGTCATGTGGGTCACTCCAGAAGCAGGTGTAGATATGAGATAAGCCTCTTATCAAATACAACATCAATGATTAAATAAATCTCACATAAGCAACTTACAATTTTTTTAATGAGGTTAAATGGCTCAAGGCCTGAACTGGAATAGATGTGAGTCTGTTTCTGCTTAGCTTTCTGTGGAATAGCACACAGACACCTCAATATTTCATTCACTGGTGATTTACATTCTTGACAAAAGTAAGACAACTGTTAGGAATGCTTTCTGACATTATAGTTTAAATCTTTAGTTCCCAAAAGTGCATACATGTCTTCACCAAATTTAAATAAATTGTCCTTACTTTGTCAACAGGAGATGAAAATGAACAGAACCACTCAAAAAGGGGAAATTGCTTCACCAACAATTTATAATTAAACACTATAATTGAGACTTGAAGAGACCTAATATCAACAAAATTTTTGTGCCATGTTTACACATATAACAGCAAAAATATATTAAATACTGTAGTTACTGGCCTTGTTTTTTTTTTTTTTTCCTTCTAGCATTTAACTAACTCAACGGAAAGACCCTGGTAATGATAATGATACATGTAAAGTTGTATTTTGGGTGAATAATTGTTTCATTACGAGACATAATGAGACTACAAATCAACTTACAGCGACTGGACTGAAGTTAGGTTGGCAAAAGCCTTTACTCCAATACTGGAAATACGATTACTGCTCAACAACCTATGGTAAAAAAGTAAAAGAAGTTACTGTGTTTAGTGGTGAAATGAGTGTGTGTTATCAGTGCCTACTTAACAGTGTTGATTCGATTCTGAGTACGTACTGTAACCTATCTTGTCAATGTTGGTAAAAACTACATTTTAGTTTCCTTCAGTCTTTGTCTCATGTCAGTGTAACGTGTATTTTTGATTCAAAAACCCAAGGGATTTGATTCACATAAACAACAGCTGATTTCAGTGCAGTGTGTAGATCCAGGCTTTTGAAACATGATTAGCCCAAAATCACATGATTCTGACAAGAAGCACCTGCACGTGGTGGAAAATGGAGAATATTTGTGAGATTGTGGAAACATACAGCAAGACTTTCCAAAATAAGCAGGATGAAATAAAGGATGGCAAAGCAAAAGGTGTCCCAACAAATTATTTTCTACCAAAAGAACCTTGAGCACTTGGAAAGGGGCAATTTGATGTTTGGTAGCAGAACTGGCATTTCTTACTGTTGCCGATGTCATAGCCTAAAAAATATATTTTGTTAAAAAAAAAGCTCACAAACTGTCATTAACAGGCCTGATGGGAGACGATGGTATGTTAGTAGTGTTGCTGGATTGGAATATCCTTTTACAGTGGAAGAATGGCAAGAAAAAAAGCCATAACAAAGTTTGCCTGTGCAGCGCCTGGCACAGAAACAGTATTTAAAATTGCAACATTTGATTGGAGAAATACATTTTCTTGGTATTAATTATTTTTTGATGGCAAACAGCCTCGCGCACGATGTTGGTGTACAATTGCGTAACAAAAACGGTCTCACGCTAGATTTCTTATTATTTCTCGTCATTCTTAAAGCCAGTGGTCGTAAAACTTCGCAGAATTAAAGTTCCATCTATGTGCACCCCAAAAAGCGAAATTTTCCGTCTGAAAGACATTTATTAGAAGAACAATAACAAAATTCCGAAAACAGGTTAGGCAAAAAGTGGCATTTTTCCCCCATTTTTTGACCAAAACGGAAAGTGCATTATTATAATTTTTAACTTCTTAGTGTGAACAATTCAATTCAAGAAGGTGTCTCCAAAGTGCACCTA